CCATCTGTGCCCATCGTGTCAACCGCTGATAAAAACCATGCCGTGGGAGCCCGTGGTGATGATCGCTGACAACTTGCGCGTCAGCAATGACAACCGCTGACTGTATCGAATTGTTCGCCATGTGTACGAATCTCTGTAAAGTACCTCTTTCCGTTGGACGTCAAAACAGTCCATATATGCTCCATTGCCAGGCTGACAAGAAACACAGGACATTGTCGTGGTAAAAGCTAAAAGCATGCCAACATCAAAATACTTAGATTGCAGATGCTCCAAGTTATAACCACCATAAACCAACTCGAGCAGCGTGACATGTTTAGTTGAAGAGCCGTTGTGTACTGGGTACAAGGTAAATATTTATTTCCGAGAAATACACCGAAGTCGGAATTTATGTACGACTTTGTAAAGCTGTACGCAACGTTGGAGCTACATCTGTCGAATTTTTTGCTGTCCATTGGTTGGTAAGTTATCTATAGTTAAAGCAAATACCTTTAATAACCGGTCCTTGACTGCCGACAAAACTATCGCTCGTCACTCAACACACACATGGAGACATCTCGACAAGTCGCTCGGGTCACGGTAAGAGGACAAGTACTATACTGATATGTTGTCTTGCAGTTTCATTCCAATGAAAATAAACGTTTACGTTACAGTGATAGACAGCGAACGTGCACAAGTAAATTTGTGAAACCTTTTCTCCATAACAGTCAAACAGGTTAAACAAAAGCTTGCCCGATATATTAATTTATCAATGGGTATTTGCATTAGCCACGAATTTCGAGAAAAAGACGAAACGAAATGCCTTTATTACTATCCAGCCTACTAAAACGCTATTTTCTATTTGATAATCTGTTGCTAAAAGATAGTTTTGAGTTATTGCTTATGTCTCCTATTCGGTAAAAGGTGTGACGAATCTACTTTCGATATCAATTTAATTTCCGGTACTCTTCCTTTCTTCGAGCGGCGGTTTGTTTGTTTGAGTTGCTCGGTATACTCTGGAAGCTGAATAATCACATATTCCGTGCCAGGGTTCTTGGAAAACTGCAAGAATTATTCTCTCTAAGACTGACTCTTGATCTAAAAACTTGTCAATCTGCGAGGCCGAGTCACGAGCGTTCGCGTTTGTCGAGAGGTCGATTGAAGTGCAGTTTTGCGTAAAATATTATACCAGACTGTGCCACAGGAAAAAGCTTGACTTTAAGGTACAATGTATCAATATAATCCTAAGGGGCCCGAGAAAAAGAACTACAATTTACAGTTTTTCTTTTTTTTTTTTAGTATTTTTTCAAAGAACCTTCAGTGCTACTGGCGCCACAGGCTATTACTATAAAGTCGGTGGTGTGATTTTTCTGCGTTCATAGAGCATTCTTTTAGAGTCCGTCACATGATTTTCCAAAAGCTTTCGTTTCAAGAAAGCTTCTTGAAGTTTAGCTATGTTTTCGTAGAAAGAGGCCGTCGGTGAAAAATATGTTCCCAATTTAATTGTGGTAGATATGAATTTGCAATGTCGTATACAAAGTAACGCAACCACTTGAGGTGAGAAACGACAAAAATATTCTACAACCGATGTATCTAACAAAGGCGGATAAAGCACATCGTCCAAAACAGAGAGAAAATACAAGATGCGATGAAAGGAAATGTATATGTACGACATCAGGCATTGCATGGCTGATAAGTGTCCATCTGCTGTACAGAAAGCGTTTGCTTTGATGCAACAATTTCTTATGATTTCTGAGAAATAGAATTTTTCCCGTGAAATGATAACGATTGCTGTAGTGGAAAGCTAAAAGATGCTGCCACTCGATTGAATAATTTTTTTTTATCAAGCTGGACATGTTTTTCCTTTTTGTGTTTAGTGTTTAAAGTATTGGAGACACTGCGTGAAAAGAAATCTCAACATCGGAAACCGGTATATCTATGCAGTGAGACAGAGAGATAATAATGGCGGTAAGCGTTCAGTTGTTGTTATTTATGCACGCAGACATGTAACTTTAATAACTACAATAGAGAGAATTTTTTTAGCCAAGAATGACACATGCCACTTTATCAAGAGTCTGTATCTAAAGGTGTAAATATCCCTCAGTCAATCCCACTAGAAGCAAATCCTTCCAGGTTAGTCTGTTGCGCGAGTCAAACGAAAAAAAAATCAGGGAGCGAAGCGTAAACACTGGGAGCGATTACATGGGAAACAGATAAAATTGTTCACCCTTGTAAACTATCAGTTACATATGTGATTACTTTAAGAACTCGAGCCATGACAGCATATTTTTAAATTGGCAAGTGCGAAAGGATGAGTATCAATTCTCGCGCAGAGGTATTGCATTCTAGGCCAGTCGGGAGATGATGCTTTCCATGTATCCTATATAGAAAGTTTGCAGGCTCGTCGCCTTTTCCTGTTATCATTCTTTTGATTTGCAGTCGTGGAGTGCATACCAGACTGAAAGTGAAGAAGAAGCTTTAGCAAAGGCGATGCAACTTTCGCTTATGGGAGATGAAAAATCGTTGAGAAAAGAAGTAAGTACAACTGTTGAACATGCAGTTTTACTTGCACATTATTTACTGCTCAATTTTTTCCTCGAAACATTTTCCATTTTTATGTCTGTTCTTTGGCTTTTTGGTAAATGACGAGACGTTCATTATTATACAGAAGATATGCCGAACCTATTAGACTAAACGAATGTCACATTTTACTTCCCGGCCTGACTTGGCCGACAGAACTGATCAAGAGGGGTATCTTAGGATCACTCATGATCAACAACACTCTTCATACCAGGGTGACTGTACTCCAGATAGATTCAGGACCCTTCACTAGCTACGCAAAGGTGTATACCTACCTTCACCTTTTTTTTTATCGATATCTGATGCATGAGATTTCAAAGGCTGTTGGAAAAAAACGCCTAGAGAGGTGCTCATGTGATTGTGTTTGTGTTGACAGGAGTTCCAGGTGCAACGCAGTGAAGAGACACCAGATGGCAAACAACCATCGAGAGAAGCCCCTTTGTCACCCTCGTCTACTTATCAAAGACAACTCCGGAGAGAGGAGGTGCACCTTGTACAAAGCGCTCCCGGAGGTATGTGAATGTATCATTAGTAAATAATGGTGATCTACAGGTCACAGACCGCTCTTTGAAACAAACCAGGTTCATCCCCACCTTCACCAGGTCGCCCTCAAATCTTTTAACTCTTTTCTCACGACAGAACGTTTTCATTTTCTGCGGAAACTCGCACTCTTGTGTCGCTGTACCTTACGTTCCTTAGCGACGTAGGTACTTTCGTAGTCTGCTACTACGTTGACTATGTTGATCGAAACAAGTATATTATTCAAAAGAAGGGGGAGTTTTTTGTACCCTAAGGAAGGAACATGAAAGGATTTAGAGGCAGACTTCCGAAGGTGGGGCAAATTTATTGTTCAGAGGGCGAACTCGCAATGGGGCGAAACATCTAGATAACAAATCCGATGATTTTATTTTTTAAAATACTTTTTTAAAAAAATCACTGCAATCAATATTAAATTCGCCTGGTTTGCCTCACAGAGAAACAAATATGGAGGAAAATAAGACGGGTTACTTTTAATTTGTTGTAGGTGGGACTCGACGAAGTGCAGGTCACTCAGCTGGAGCAATCCCACTCTGTCTTCCTAACAACTATCAGTGGAACTCTAGAATTCGACAATGCGTTAAGACAGAAGAGAAGCGTTCTTCGCTGTATTTTGTTGAAGAAACCCTTCAGGAGTTGAGGAAAGTAAAAGGTACCGATCTCTACCCCCTCAGTGTGACACGAAATATTTCGATTGTAAAACTTATAAACTAAAACAACAACTGTAGGGTGCACGTACAATTGCTGCGATTCTTGCATCCTCTCAATTAAAATGTTTTTCTTTTAATTAAGGCGGTCCAATTTTACTGTTATCAAAATTGGCAATGGCTGAAGGGAAAAATATTTTAATAAATTATGACATGGATTGTGACAAACACTCACTGCTTGGATATAAAGCGTTCCCAGAGGAAAAAGGGATAGAGGAAAGACAGATGAGAAAATTCATCTAGGCCAGTCGGGAGATGATGCTTTCCATGTATCCTATATAGAAAGTTTGCAGGCTCGTCGCCTTTTCCTGTTATCATTCTTTTGATTTGCAGTCGTGGAGTGCATACCAGACTGAAAGTGAAGAAGAAGCTTTAGCAAAGGCGATGCAACTTTCGCTTATGGGAGATGAAAAATCGTTGAGAAAAGAAGTAAGTACAACTGTTGAACATGCAGTTTTACTTGCACATTATTTACTGCTCAATTTTTTCCTCGAAACATTTTCCATTTTTATATCTGTTCTTTGGCTTTTTGGTAAATGACGAGACGTTCATTATTATACAAAAGATATGCCGAACCTATTAGACTAAACGAATGTCACATTTTACTTCCCGGCCTGACTTGGCCGACAGAACTGATCAAGAGGGGTATCTTAGGATCACTCATGATCAACAACACTCTTCATACCATGGTGACTGTAGTCCAGACAGATTCAGGACCCTTCACTAGCTACGCAAAGGTGTATACCTACCTTTACCTTTTTTCTATCGATCTCTAGCGCATGAGATTTCAAAGGCTGTTTGAAAAAAAAAAAAACGCCTAGAGAGGTAATGCTCATGTGATTGTGTTTGTGTTGACAGGAGTTCCAGGTGCAACGCAGTGAAGGGACACCAGACGGCAAACAACCATCGAGAGAAGCCCCTTCGTCACCCTCCTCTATTCATCAAAGACAACTCCGGAGAGAGGAGGTGCACCATGTACAAAGCGCTCCCGGAGGTATGTGAATGTATCATTAGTAAATGATGGTGATCTACAGGTCGCAGACCGCCCTTTGAAACAAATCAGGTTCATCCCCACCTTTACCAGGTCGCCCTCAAATCTTTGAACTCATTTCTCACCTCAGAACGTTTTCATTTGGTGCGGAAACTCGCGCTCTTGTGTCGCTGTGCCTTGCGTTCCGTAGCGACGTAGGTACTTTCGTAGTCTGCTACTATGTTGACTATGTTGATCGAAACAGGTTTATTATTCAAAAGAAGGGGGAGTGTTTTTTACCCTAAGGAAGGAACGTGAAATGATTTAGAGGCAGACATCCGAAGGTGGGGCAAATTTATTGTTCAGAGGGCGAACTCGCAATGGGGCGAAACATCTAGATAACAAATCCGATGATTTTATTTGTGCTGACGGGTTTTATTGCCAACATTTCTTCAGTTAATTTTATATTTTACATTGTTTCTTTCTCTGCTGTAAATTTGGAA